TAATCGTTAGGTAGTACTCAAAAGTATTTTAATTCCTTAAACTTGTATATAAAATATAGCTGATATCTATAGTTTTTATGAATATTAAATCATCAATTAGAGTTAAGATCTAATCATATCAGGTAGTTATTACATCAATAATAATAAATTGGTATGAAGTAAAATCAATGGCTTCTTTAATAAACTTAATAAGAAAAGATTAATAATAAATAATTTGAAGTACCATTTTCATATAGAAATAAACATAAGAATAATCAATAGTAAAAAAAATTAATTTAAAAAGTCTGGAGCATATTTTCAGATGTAGAAAAAGTTGAATAATTAAAAAATTATAGCAGAGGAATAGAAATTAATCTATTTAAGATCATTTTCATTTTAGAAATGGTCAAAATTGGCTTTTAGATTTGAATTTGATATCTAATGTCTAATTTCAATATTGATCACAATATTAAGTAAAAAAGAACCACATAGAGCTATTTTTATACTTTTGATATAATTTTTCAATAATTCTTTTGTTTTTGAGCATGGTATGTATAAGCTATCTAATAATCCTAGATTCCTAAATTTAAATTAATATATTATAAATTATAAATATTTTCAAGACTATATTTATTTATCATAAACTAGATACAAAATAACTGATTTATTAGAATTAATCCAATTCATAATAAATCTTATAATAATTATTTTATTTGCTTCATTGAAAAATTGAATGTCATATTCAATTCAAAATTAGATAAATTGTATAATAATTGATATTATTTGTATTTTCAATCGTCAAACAAAGGATTAATACCAATAACATCTACATTTTGCAACTTGTTTCTATTAATAGAATTCATAAACAATCTTTTTATTTTAGCTTGTATTATTAAAATTAAGAATTAAATAATTTTACTTTGTATGTCTGAAAGAGACTTCATTAGAAGACTAATTTGTTTAATTCTATAAAAAATATGCTTAAGCTAGAATGCTTTACATTTAGATTTGTTGACTTGAAGATGAGAAAATTTGCTTGATGCTGTATATGTTTAGTAATTTAATTATTATATAATGCAAGCAAATATAGGGATGTCATTTAGTAATATAAAATCTGTTCAATAATATTTTAAACATTTCTTGGTCAAATAATTCTTAGAAATCTTATTAAAAAAAATTAATTAACAAAGTTCTAAAATGGTAAGATCCCTGTATTTCCATACAGTAAACTAAAATGGCTTCATTTTAATATGAGAAAATAGTAATAATAAGTGTTTAGACTATTTGTGTCAATTTTTTTCCTAGAATTGAGATATTAATTAATGAAATAAAATTATTGTAAGAATAATTTAAATTTATAATTGTTCTCTTTTTTGTTCAATTTTAATTATATATTTATGGTTTTAATTTTTAATTAATAATCTAATTAATCTAGAAAAACTGCGTTTTTTTGTTTTTAAAGGCTCTTTTTAATTTAATTTTATTTAAATGGATTAATATTCAAGTTTCTTTATTCATTTAAGCAATAATCCTCACAATATTTAATCTCCCAATTAAAGTGATATATACTTAGTATTTAAGCACTTGGACTGATTGATAAATCATAACAGATATTTTAAAAAATCTAAAACATAATATTTTGATAATCATTTTCTAACTAAACTAAACATTTAATTATTCTGTTAATTATTAATTAACAACTAAATTTTTTCATTATCAATATTTCTAAATAATTAACTTTGTATTCATATGTATGATGCTTTAATAGAATTAAATAAAATATTCTATATTTGGATTGATGATTAAAAATGTACACTTTGAAATATCCTTGTTTGTATTCGATTTTGCGTATATTACAATAAGATAAGTTGTTTGCAATGTAAACAAAGTTTCATATGTTGGAAGTGCTATTTTTTTTGAATAATTGGACAGTCACAGATAATTAAATATCATTTAGAAAAAAAAAAGGTAAAATTCACTTCAGGTATAATATTTGCAAACAGCAGATAATATCCCCTACTATCTAATCCAGATGTCTTGGGACTTTTCTATAAAAAAAATGTTTCTTCTAATTAAATCAAGGTGCATGTTAAAACCCCTTTACTAACATTAATTGTGCCTAGGGCTATCTTTCTAGTATCAAGAGCTCCACAACATGATAACTAACATCAACACTTAAAACCTGTTTTTACTGGTCAGTTATCTAGTTGGAGAATGGATTAGAGAATAAGCCAAAATATCCTAAATCAGTAACTTTAGGGGAATATCTAGACACAGTTGAAATAATCAATTTGAAATAAAAAATAAAAAGAAAATTCAAACAAACCTCAAAAATGAAATAAGAAAATTACTGAACCAATTGAAAACCATATATTTTTGTCAAGTTATTCGTAATCCAAGGAAAATAATTTAAAAGAACAAATATGAGATTAGTTTGATTAAAAATTTTTTATTTGTTGGAGATTATGCATCTAAATACTAAATCAAAGGATTTTGAAAAGTCTTGCATTTTCATATAGATAATCAGCTAAATAAAGTGGATATAAATATTGTTAAGAAGATGCTAAAGTTTATAATAGTTTTAATTTTATAATAAATATAGGATTCATGGGGTTTAGATCAAAAATAAAAATCTAAATAATGAAAAATCTGGAAGGAAGGAATTTTATTTTTTAATAGAATAACCCATGCGTTTTTGATATGTAAATAATAATATTTGAAGCACTACTGAGAATGCATGAAAAAATATGAGATTTGATTTTTTTCTAATAATTTCTCTCTGAGATAGTTTAATTTTTTTAATAATAATTAGATTTTTGTAAGGTAATTTAATTTTCTGTATGAAGATATTTTTCTTAATTTTCGTTATCATATATTTATCAAAAATATGATTCCAAATAAAATACTCTGATGAATGTTGGAATAAAATAGAAATAATAAGATTATTCTAGAAATTATTGAAAAACAGAGGATTTTTTAGATCAAGATCTAATCCTGTTTTACTATAAATCCTCTTACCACAATATAACTAGAAAAGATTTTTACTTATTTTATGTTTAATTAGTTAAATAAATTTGTATAATAATTTATTTAATACTTTAAATTTAAGTAATTAATTCCCAAAAAAAAAGAAAAGGTTTGAATATTAGAATATGAGAATTAATCTAATAATGAGTCTAATTAAAGTGAATATGTGAAAAAAGTAAAAATATATTTCTAGGAAACACGCCCATAACTTTAATAGCCTTAGTGAATAATCTTTGCAAACATATTTATTGAAAAGGTATTATAATAAATTTTCTGAATTTACATCTTACTTTTTCCTCAAATATATCATCTTTTGTTTCTAATTGTACTCAAAAGAAAAAAAACATATTTTGGAATTTAACATAGGTTCTTCATTATTTAAAAATTGTTTTCTTTCTTTAATGTATTAAATAATTTAAATTATCTTATTATTGTATAATTCTGCAACATTTTAATTTCTTATGTATTTTTTAATGACTAATTAAACCACTAAATTTCAAATTAATAAATGAAAATCTATCTTAAAATTTGGATGAAAATAATTGATAATCAAATTTTTTATATCATTAAATTCTTTTAGGTGGGTAAACATAACATATATAATGACAATCATTCATTTATTCTTAACTTCTAATTTCCATTATAAATGATAAGTGAGATGCTATTATATTGATCTTCCTATTTTATTCCTAAACCTCAAATTTTCGGTTTAAACTTAGACTATTATTATTGTTTCCTCTTAAAATGTTGTTTGCCTCATTTTTTCTATTTATTAGAAATTTTGAATTACAATCTTTTCACAAATTAACATTTGAATTCTTCTTTAAAATATATCCCATAAAATTAATTATTAATGATTCATATCTATCTTCTGAGTAAATTTTGATCTGATTTACTGTATTGATTTAGTCTATATTATCTTGTATCTAGTAATACTTGATCTCATGTATGCATATTTATTTAGAAATATAATTGAACCAATAGTTATTCATTACAGTTAATAATTTTTCTTTCTTTAATTTTCGATATCCTTTTTAATTAAACCAATAATATTAATGTTTTGTGATTTAATTTTTATTTTATTAATCAATGCTTTTCTGACTTCTTTACTATAAATAATGAGTAATATTTAGAATACGATAATAAAATTTACATATTATGAAATAAAATTCAGCCATCAAATTAAAATTAAAATCCATTAATTTCTTATTAGGTAAGAAAAGTTGAAGGCAAAAATAATTCTGTTAAAGAAATTGGAATCTCAATATAGAAATTATGTTGACAATATGAAAATATTATCAATTTAAGATCATTTTATAGAGTAATCAATTTAGCTTCTTTTAACTAAATATTTTTTATATTCATAAAAACTTAAAAAAAATTGTTAGCACTAGAATAAATCAAAAAATTGAATTCAAAGAAGATATACTTTTAACACTTTAAGAAAGCAAGGTGAGCAATGCATTAATAAATTATAAAATCTGCTTAATTTTGTAAATGGATTTTCAAAGCACTTCAGGCTTGAATATTAAGGGAATGAATAATGTATGAAAGGCAGTTTATAATTTAGAAGTTTTAGAATTAAAATAAAAAATGAGAAAAGGGATGCGAATTGAATCAAAAATGAAATAAAATAATAAAATGAGGTCAGATTTTATGTTTTAGAATCACTAATTTAAATAAAGAATCAATTTATTTATTACACAGTTATGAAAGATAAAATTGAATTAATTTTAATAAGGAAGTGAATGAGATGACTCAAAAATTGATTTGGCATAAAATTGAAAGTAACGAACTATCATAAACTGAAAATTTGAATATTTTGACTATCTCAGACAAAATGATTATGATGGAAAAGTGCTGAGTAATATAAAGATATCTAGAGTAAGTTAGACAAAGTTAGCGAGAAAAAAATTTAATGAATTAAAATTATTAAATTCGACGAAGATAAAAAGGTATGAATTTCATGATTATAATGATGTTCTAAGTTAATTGATAATTTATTAAATGTAATGGGAAGATGGATGGTTGATATTTATTGCAATTTAGTAATTTTGTATAGCTTACATGATTTGATTCATAAATTATAATGAAATTGCTAAAATAAAAAAAAACAAAACCTTTATTAAAATAGGCATTAACATAATTTGGATCAAGCGAAATGGCTTTATCATAGCAGATTATTGCTTGTTCATATTATTTTATATTCTTTAAACTATTACCTAAAATTTAATTATGGAGATAAACCTTTTCCATTATAGGCATTAACATAATTTGGATCAAGCGAGATGGCTTTATCATAGCAGATTATTGCTTGTTCATATTATTTTAAAT